TCATCATCCAAATTTATACTCAACATCGTGCATATTTCTCTTACTAAAATATTAATTTTCTCTTGTTCTTTGATCAATTCAAATTCTTTTCGTAATAAATTTAAATTGTCAATTTTTTCTTGTAATTCATTAATTTTATTGGTTATATAATCTTCAGTAATTTGAAGTTGATTTCTTAATTCTATAGGAAAATCTGTAGTTGAAAAGCCAGCTTCTTTCCCATCATGTACATAGAATCGAATTGTTTTGCCAAAAGGATAATCTTTACAGACTCCTTGAGTAGTTCTATTGGTAGTGCCAACATCACGTGGTTCATGTACTGTAATACGAATACCTAAATTTTTAAAAATATAACTCATTTCAAATAAAAATTATCCTATTAATTTATTCGTTTATAAATATTTTTTTCTTGATAGATTCTTTTATATTTACAAGATTTTGATACTCGTTATTTTCTAGGTATTTTATATCAAGTACACCACATATCAATTTGATGATTTCCTTTTGGTCTGTTAAGTTTGTATTGCTATCCGATACTAAAGTATTGTATATCTTTAATAAATTATTATCTGAATCTATGCTTAGCATCGTGCAAATTTCTGTTACCAAAGTATCAATCTTTTTTTGCTCCTCGATCGATTTCTTGAATGAATCGAATTCTTGTTTTAATAATTTTAATTCTTGTTCAATATTATGTTTTGTATCTATGTAAACACGCAATACAAATTCATAATAATTTTGCATTTCATTTATATAAGAAATTTTGTTAAAAACATTACCTATTTTGATCATATCTATTATTTCTGTGAGTTTAATCGGGATTGTACCTATTCGCGCACCAGTAGTTTTCCAAATTAAATCTTCAGAAAAATATTTAGTACATCCATACTGAACTGCTATAGACCTTGTTTGATATTTTATAGGATCATTAATATATTTACTTTCCCAAATTCTAAAAATTTGATATGGAAATTGCATTTCGTTTAATTTAATTATAGGATTCTGAGTTTCATATTCATCATCATTTTTAATTTTAATTTTATTTTCTATCAGATATGAAAAATATTTTTGGATTTCTTTAAGAAAATCGATATTGGTATATTTATTCAAGCCTTGATTTGTTAAATAATCATATGCTTTCTTATTCTTCTTTTCATATTCGATAGGTTCACTGTGTAAGATAATAAAGGAACTAAGATTTGTATTTTTCCAATTTACTAGGTTTGGTGAGATATTAACATCACCTCCATTTTTATAATAATTCATTATCAATTCTTGGTATTTTTTCGGATTAGTAGTTAAAT